TAGAAACACGCAAAAAGCTGGTCAGCAGTTATAAGAAGGTTTGAATGCTTTTAACTGAGAGAGGTATAAATAGGTTTTGACAGGCCACTTATGTTACAGTGGAAATAAAAAGGGAGAAAGCATTGTTTTACAAAAATAAAAGTCCTTTTACATTATCGTCATGTTCTGTCGGAAACAATTTTAGTTGAATGAAAGTAACTTAGAATCTCCTAGGTGTGTCATAAAAGTTGAGTTTGACTCTCTTGAGCGCTGCAGTTTTGGTCTAAGGCCTGGCTGAAATATTAAGTTCTATGATCATCCAAAAAGCCTTCTGCACTTTTAAATTGTTTGTGTGACAGCACTAAGGGGACTCGGCTGTTAAACTGAGTATAATATCTAACTGTTAGATAGATATCTAACGGTCTAGCTAATAGTTGGACTCCCCTTAGATGCAGCTGTTTTGCACTCAGCTGTAGAGTTTCCCTAGTTGTTAGTGTTACAGTGAAGTAACCTTTTTGATAATGAGTAAGCTTTAATTTTAGAGAAGTGTTTGTTTTAGTAAGGCTATGACTGTATGTGCAAAATAGAACTAGAGCCAAAAGATTGATGGATTTGAGGATCACTTTTAACTGCCATTACAATAAATACCACAAAACACCATGATAAAATTTTAAGTCCCCATCTCATCTCATTGGCTCTTAACTTTCAGATGTTCTCTGAGTTGACATTTGACACTGGACAAAGTCTGTTACTTATTGCTACAACGACAGGTGGTTATGTCATTTCTTGGCTTGTGGTGCCTCTACATGAAGGTTGGCTTGAGGAAAAAGCTCTTAAATGCAAGCAAGACGAGCTGAAATATTAAGAATTCAATTCTGGCTAACATACACATCCATATGATAAAGATGTGGCTGTAGAGCGTGGATAAAACAACAGATTTAACTACAGCATGTCCCTGAACTACAACTATAAAAGGGAGGAAAAAAAAAAAAAAAAGCAAAGATGATGCTGATTCAGAATGATGTGGGAATCATTTTAGCAGCACTTGTACTGCAGAAAGTAATTCTGTGCGCGTGTGCGTTTATGCCTTCTGAAAGGGAATGATCCATAAAAATTATTGATGTCACCTGATAAGAAAAAGACCGTCTTGATATCACTCTGATGAATTACTGTCTCTTCTCGGCATCAGTTTTATCGTTCCTGGGTTTTTGGAAATGGAAGCACCGGAAAAAGATGAACAAACATCACTGTGACTCTTAAATGCAGCTGCTGATTACTCAGTCCACTGCTTTTTTTTTTTTCTTTTGTTGCCAGTAACCCTCAACGTGACACACTTGGAATGTTGACTTGCTGTTTTTCCCTGTTCGCTGTTCAGTGCAGGACACACTTGAAGTGGGGTCTGAGCTCGACACAGTCGGGGATCACAATAAAAGGCAGGAAGTAAGTGATCCAAAGGAGACGGTGAATGTTACCGAAGCAGCGATCATATAGTCTTTGTCGTCTGTGGCGAGGAAGGGGGGGGGGAAACAAGAAAGAGAGAGAAAGAGAGAGAGAGCGCTGGGAGCCACTGTGCGTCTTTGAATGAGGTCAGGGCATCATGGGGAATAATGCATTTCCCTTCTCTTGCGCCAGGCGTTCCTTCCATTACGGCTGGAGAAGAGACATTGTGTCCACACTCTGATTACCACTGATCCATGCTGATGACTCTGTTGGCGGATTATCTCAGTTAGTATCAGCCATCTGTTACTGTGTGTACGTGTATGTGTGTGAGTGTGCACGTGTGTGTTGATGGGTAAGGAGAAAAGGGGCAGGATTGAGACACACAGGAGGTTTTATAGTTTGGGGCTGTGACACACATGCAGACAGACCCTTTCACAAGCACGCGTATTGTTTTGTGTAATCAAGCAACGTTACATGCCTGATCTGAAGCATCTCCACCAGCACTAAATGCACACGCACTCTCTCTCTTTCTTTATGCTGTTGTGCCCTCCTTTTTAGATGGGACTGACAGGCGAAGGCTCCTATATGAAGGCCACATGCAATCATAAAAGCGCAGAGCTGTTTATAGCAACACTATCTCCTGAAGGGGCCGCTGCATCCAGCCACTATTAGGTGCACACATTGACAGCTGTGCTGCTGTGTTGTATTTGTGGACGTGACTGGGAATCCAGCACTGGAACACATCTTATAAATCATAGTTCAGCCATTAGCATAAATTCTGCCTCTCCTTGCATCTGCGAGGACCTGCTGTTTCTGGCTGCAGCGCGCCATGTTGATTGGTCGGTGTTCAAGTCAGATTGATTTAGCCGTTCACGGAGATTATACCGCGCGCCTTATTCCGCCACTGTTGTGTGCCGTTAATTACCTATAAAATCAAGCTAATTCCGATGCTAAATCCATTTTAATTTCTTATAATTAAGTCAGGATTGGATCCTTAAATACCTTGGCGCTCTATTATTCTTGCAATCATTGTTGTGGCTGTGCGTTTGGTGGTACATTGCCGAGCTCAATCTTATTATTGTTATTAGATTTAATTGCTCTAAGTGATCAGTTTGTAGTTGTCAGAGGAAGATGGACTTGCCTCGTAGTCGTTTTTTTTTTCCGCCCCGCTGTCCTTTCCCTCTCCATCTCTCATCCCAGAAAGAGGCCCTTTGAGAGATGGTAAGAGATGAGAGAAGATGAGGGGGAGGGTAGCTCTGCTTTACACCTCTGCAAAGGAGGGATTGCTTTTTTGTTGTTTGTTAGGGGGAAATCAATTCTGCTCACATCATCACGTTTTGACAAGGCGAGGCATTAAGTGCAGATATTGAGGAGCGACAGGAATGGTTTACAGCCAGCGCTTTATCTTCTCTGCTCTTTTTCTTTACTTTTGCCCTTCCTTCCACAACAAAATCAGAGTGTATTGTCTTGCCTATTCTCTTTCTTTCTCCATTTCTTGGTCTTTTTTTGTGTGTGTGTCCTTCTCCCTGAAAAGGTGGGGAATGATCCGCTTCACTTACCAGCTGACACCACATAAGCTTGCTCGTCCTCGGAGACGCGAGCCTTTTGTTTTCGTGTGCATTATGATAATTACGAAGGGCCACAGCTCCTCTTTTATTTTCATCATGCTCTTAATGATTCTTAGATTCGTCATCTGGAGCATACGCAGAAACGGGGAAAAAAATTTGATATTTCGGAAGGATCTTGTTTTGTTTTGTTTTTTTTGTTTTTTTTTTCTTTTTTCCCCTTGTTTTTCTTTTTCACCCTAACCTGACATTTAAAGGGTGACGGCAAGAGCAAAAGAGCATAGAGTGTGACAGCCAGTCGTGCAATATAGTGTGGCCGGGAGGAAATGTTTCTCAGTGAAATAAGACTAAAACTCCTCATCTTCACTCAGCCAGAAATGTATCCCTGTAACTAATATGGAACACTTACTTACTTACTCACAGTAAAGGTTGGTAATCTGGCTCTTTTTTCTTTTCTTTTTTTTTTTTATCCACATGCTGTCACCTTTCACAAGAGTCCATTCTGAGGACCTTTGACCTTGCTCATAATTACACCGCCACCATCTTTTCCACTGCAGCAGTGGCAAGTCATGGCCGCCCGAGTCCGATGGCACACCAGCCTCCTCCCCGCGGACTGCAGCAGGTTTTCTTGTCATCCGCGCCTCCTCGCTCCCCTCTCTCCCTCTCTCTTGTCAGTGTTGCTCCTGGCGAAAGGCTGATACTTGATATTCAGAGGATAGCAGCTTTTGTCTCAGAGATTTAATCAGTGGCTCTGCTCCCACTGCAGAGGGGCAATGGAGGGAGGGTGGAGGGGTGGCAGGAGAGAGGGAAGGAAGGAGAGATGGAGGCAGAGACTGTTTATGTGTAATGACACAATAACAAAGCCTGCCTGTAAAACACAATCTGCAAACTGTGCTTTTGAAGGGGATTTTCAGTCCTGGATTAGTGTCAGGCAGAGGGATATGGAAAAGGAGAAGAGAGAAAGAGTCAGGTTGATGTGATAGACAGGGGAGGTGATTTTGTGTGTGCAACGGGGGGGTTGAAATCAGTGTGTGTACAAACGTGCGCATGGGTGTTTGTGCGTAATTTCTATTTAGCCGTTTTGTATTTATTCGGCTCCACAAGTCAGCGGCTGTGTGGGCACTACACATTGTCCTCTCGGTCGTAAGCAAAAGGGGATTAAAGCTGACAAATATGAGTCAAATATTTGGCTGCCGAATGACCAAAATGCATCTTGTGAGGGCTTATGTTGTTGGTTGGTTGGTAATAGCTGGCGTAGTGACTCTTTGAGACTGTTAATGGAAAGCTACTGGGTTGGTTAATGCACACATCCCCTAAAAAGCATGTCCATTTGGTTGTAGCTCCAGCTGAAAGGAGTCTGAACAATGCAGTCTTTTAAGGCCTCAAAGAGATCTTTTAGGTTGGAAGATGCATGTCTTTTTTTTTTTTTTCCTTTTTTTTGCCCCCATCACACAGGTGTTATGAGGGGTTTTTATTTTGGTGGAACACAGGTGTTGGAGATGAGACGCACAGGTGTGCATGAGTTCTGCTTTTGTGCTCCCGCGTATCAGAGAGACGGGACGGAATGGCAAAGAAAAGTGACAAATGTGTTATTTGTCTATTTGAGCTCGAGTTTTTCCTCTGACCTGTGTCGCTCCGAAACATCCCACTTCATCAGGCAAACTGTCCTGTCAAGGAAGCACCTTCTTCACGCTTTATTTTACTTTTGCATCAAAATGTAAAAGCCCTGCTTTGCTCCGCTGTCCGTTATCACAGTCCTTAAACATGTCATCCCTCCATCGTACCCCGTATTCAATCAATAGAGGCTGGGAGCCAGTGAGCATGGCTAAATAGAAATATTGTTCAGGGGAAGTGAGATGTGAAAGGAAAAGTGTCAGGGTGTGTTTGTGTGTGTGCATGTGCGTGCGTGTAGGTGTGACGGTATACGTTTGTGTGTGAGGGTGTGTGTGTGTGTGTGTGTGTTTCTGTAGATGTGCTTTGCTATTGTAACCCTGCTGATTGGATTGTGTTTGACAGATATGGAGTCTGGAGAGCGGCTGGCCTCCCCTGCGCCCACCCTGTCTGCTGCTCACACCTCCTCCCCTGCGGCCTCCTCTTCCTCCTCATCTTCCTCTTCTTCCTCCTCTTCGTCATCGCCTGCGCCCCACTCTAAGAGCAGCCTGGCCCCGAGCCCATCAGCACTGGGATCCACCCTCAACACCTCTGGTAAGAAACCGTTCCCCTCTCCCCACCTCCCCTTATGTGTCAATCCTGTGTCTTTCAAAAACAAAACAAAACAAAAAAAACACAAGAGAAATGCCGACGCGCAATGTAAACAGTGATCACACATCCGTGAGAGGGACTCTAAATGTGGTCACCTTCATGTCTTGATAGCATTCAGAATCCATCCTCATTTCTTTACCATGAAAAAATTAGTTTCCCCCAGTATTAATTATACAGTTATTTTGCAGTCGGTGTGAATACACCTCTCTCCCAGCTCCGAGGATTTTTTTTTTTTGTGTGTGTCCTGACAGCTTGGGTTGCAATTGAAAAGCTGCTGCATTAATGAATCCCAAACAATTAGGGGGCTCTTTTGTGTGAGAAACACACACATGCTTTGCCATGTCTCCTGACAACCTTCAGCTCTCTGGCTCCAGCTGCCTCAGAGTCAGGCTCAGCACGCCACTGTGCACGCATGCATGCGTGTGTGTGTGTGCGTGTGTGTGCGTAGATGTGTGTGTGGGTGTGTGTGTGTGTGTGTGCATCTACGTGTGAGATGGAGAGAGAGAGAGAGAGAAAGAGCCTCTGCCTGCATGATTTAACATTTGTTAGCCACTCAGTGTCTAGTCAGCCCTGTCCGGCCTCCAGCTTCCTTTCTGTGTTATGGTCAAAGCCATTAGGCAAAGAGGAGTGTGTGTCTTTGTTTTTGCATGTGTGTGTGTGTGTGTGTAAATGTGTTTGTATGTCTAGGTGTTATCCAGATATCTCCTCTGCGCTCATATTTTTTCTCTCTCCTCATCTCCTAATGTGCTGCTGTTTTTCTTATAGTCCTGCTTTATATCTTTATAGACGCAACTGCATACACTTACAATTGCTCTAAGTAGGAAATATGATATCCAACATTCTCTGTGATTGTAGTGTGTTTTCCCCCCTGCCCCCTCTCTGTTACAAGTAGAGGATGTGGGGAGAGAGCAAAATAAAGCCCCTTGTGTTGCCGTCAGGATCCTCAGTGTTGCCCAAAACGAAGAAGAAGCCATTAGGAGCATCTTCCTCTAATGCATTATGCATCCCTCTTATCCCTCTGTACTTCTATGTGTGCTCAGATTTTCTAGATAAGCGATTTTTAGATTTGGATGAAAGGCTTAGAGGCAGAGTGTTGGCTCTAAACTTTTACCTACTTTGTGAGAATCTAGCAAGCCAGGCCTTTTTCTTAAAATATTTTCTTGGAAAGCATTTGTAAACTTCACCTCAGATATGTGCAGTGCAGTGTCTTACAATAATGTATACGGTGCTTCACATTTTGATGAATAATCTCTAGTGATATCCTGTGAGATATACCAAAAATTGTGAAGTGCTAGAAAAATTGCAAACTTCCTAATATGCAAATAAAAATGTAAATAATTGTGTCATTCCTTAAAATTCACCCCCGTCCAGTATAACTAGTTACAATCAGAAGTCACCTAATTAGTTAATAGTTAATATAGCTGTTCTGTGGAGTGCTCAGAGATTCATTAAAGAACAGTATTGAAGAAATCGCATCATGAAGAACCAAGAAACATGATGGACCAGTCAGAAAAAAAGCTGTGAAGTTTGAAGAACGGTGAGATAATAGAATAATATTTCAAGCTTTAGAGATCTCACTGTGGTACAAAAGGAACTACAGAAAACTCAATAGAGTATAAATAATTTTGCAACCCACTATATTTATGACTGTTTGTTTAAAAAAAAGGTGAAATCATCCTCTTTTCCTTTCTACTCTGTTTTATGTAAAGAGAACCATTTTCACTTACAACAGGAAACATCTGTAGTTATTGCAGTGTGTATCACAGACATTGGTTCAAGGCTCTTTGCAGTTTCGCCAGCAAGACTTAAGAAAATAAAATCTGAAGAACACACACACACACACATACACACAAAAAAAAAAAAGAGCACTGACTTTGTTTGCATGTGTCATTGATGAGGATATCACTTGGAGAATAAATAAAAGCTGATCAGCGCTTGTAGCGCTCTCTCCTTATGGGATCAACTCACGGATGCAATTAACTTAAATCTGTCTGTGGAAATTTGATTGACTGCAACAAACAACAAATTAATCCCCCTTCGGCAGCATCCAAACATGAAAAAAAGCAGGCGGTGCAGTTTGTCAGAGCGGAGGAAGGATTGAAGCGGAATGAAAAACAGGGCGAGGGAGTGAGAGTGAGAAACAGAGAGACACAGCGTGAGGAAGAGTGAGTAGGTAATCCGAGGTATGTCTTTCCCATGCCTCTCTCCCACTTCAGATTTTTAGATTTAATTATTCGCCTTCTGGAAGCCTGCATTAATATTGAAAAGGCATTTGCAGATGTCACTTTGTGTTGCCTAGAATGAAAGAAGGGTGCAGAGGAGGGGGGGAGAGGTGGGCACCCTAGGCGTAAGTGAATGCCGTGGCCGGCCCTTTTTTAAGGGCGGGGAGGGTGTGGGGGGGAGTTGGGTTGGAGTCGTTTATCTTCGTATCCATGAGCTGACGCTGGCAAGGCGGGCACATATACATATTCAGCATATTCTAATGACATTCAAAAGGCAGAATTTGCTGTCTCGTGGCAGAGAAGGACCTTGAAGCCAGCACAAAGGGCTACACTCTCATATGTCACACACCAGGATGCTGGCAAGGCCACATAACCACAGACAGTTTGTTCACACCTAAAAATACCCCAAGATTCTGTCCATGTTCATTTTTAGATTTTCCTTTCGTAAAGAGCATTTATAACTGACCCTGTTATTATATGCTTGACTGCATTAGATCAGGAAATGTTGTGCTCCCGGTGTCACTTGCTCCACATTTCTGTGATGTGTGCATGTGTATAGAAGTTTGACATTTTCATCTGCAGCATTGAGCACAACACTTTCCTTTTCTACAGTCATCACTTTTCTCTTTTCTCTTTTTTTTTTTTTTTTTTTTTTTTTTTCTTTTTTTTTTTTTTTTTTTTTTTTACTTGTGTATTACCTGGCTTATGCAGAGGCATCAGACAGGCTTGCTTTCCTTTTCTGGAATAGAAATTGAATTTGCATGAAATATGCTCACACCAAATTGCATCTGACTCTGGGAGGAGGTAATACGTGGCAGTCGCCCCTGCCAGAAATGTTTGTGCTCAGGAAAACGCTAGACGATGATGATGTTGATGAAGTATTCTTCTGAGCTGGAATTGAATGCCAAAAGGATGGAAGGAGGTTTGCTTTTTACACCTTATATAGATGATTCTCTTTTTTTTTTCTGTCTGAGGTTGTCCAGGCATTTTCAGTTTGCAACATATGGTGACACTGACTTTAAGCAAAAGATACATCAGCAATGCAGGTAGATCTGTACTGAAACAGGTGAATGCTTTATCATATACTTGCAAGCATTAAGCTGAAGCATGTGTATGTTGTGCAGTTGAAATTTTGTGCAGTTTTCAGTCCATCAAAACTCAGTGTTTTCTTAAATGAATAGAAAACAGCCATCCTGTATGTCGTTTCTTTAGTAATGTCAAAAACAACGACACCATCGAAAAACGTTTAAGCCTAGCCTTCTCATCCTGTCGATTCCAACTTCAGGACATTAAAAGGGTTAGGGTTTCTCTGTGAAAATAAAATTAGAAACATTTAACAAGTGGACAAGGAGATTTTGTAAAGTTCTTCAATGTAGATCAGTATTAACACTTTAATTTCTTGGATGGAAAAATTTAAATAGCAACCAAGTTTATTTTTTGTATGAAACGGTGTAAGATGGTGTATTCACAATGGTAAACTGAAGCTTAGAAATAACATCAGAGCCAGCAAGAAATGTGATTCTCATGGCAACTGTCAAAGTACTTGTAATGTGTTAAGTAGAATATCGAACATTTGATTTGTGGTTTTATTGTGCAAAAAGAAAGGAGTTTTACATTTTCTGTGTCTGTTGACTGTAAGCAGTCAAAGCACTGAGAGATTATGCACACCTGTCGCTGTGTGAGTAGTTCTTTAAAACATTTCCTTCCTTTGTTTACGTCTATCTAAGGCCGACTGTTTGGAGGAGCGGGAGATCAGCCCTTCATTGGCTCCACGTTGTCAAGTGCCTTCCCTCTGGTGAACCACCCTGCCTTTGGAGCCCTCTACACTGCCGGGGCGGGCAGGCCCGAGTTTGGAGGCCTGGGCTCAATTGGGATGTCAGCTGCTCTGGCTGCCCACCCACAGTTAGGAGCGCTGACTGGTAAGCAGAAAAGGTTTGAATTCCTGGCAATAGTTCTTGGAAATAAAATCACACCACTAATTAACCCTCCGCTCCTCTCAGAGTGGTGGCGAGCTGCTGAAGCCCACGGACGCGGAGCTGCTGCCTTTATCCCCTCTTTCATCGGCTTTCCTCCTTTCTTCGCCCCCCACATTCAGCCCAATCACAACACTAGTCCTGTTCAGATCAGGACGCCTGGCAAGAATAGCCACGACCCGCCTAAAGGTACAGCAGTTTGCTAAAGACCCCTTCATTGATCTGTCTCTCTTCTTCCACACTCTGTCTTCCTCCACAACCTAAATCCACTTTGCCCTATGATGAGATTTTCCCTGTTTCAAGATAGATTTAATGACTTCCACTGCTCACTTAGTCATTCTATTAACTTCTTTCTCTGGCTCTTTCCCTCGTGTTCCCTCTCGTAATCTCTGTTTCTTGTGCTCTTTTAATTTCACAGTATCTTTTAATTTATCTTTTATTATGTAAACCATTCATGTTGGGCTTGTGCCTCGTACGGCCAAGCACATTTGATGAGATACATGTATAAATCAATATTTTTATTAGCCTCATTCCATTCTGCAGTTAGTTCCAGATATTCAATTATCCCCTTGTTGCCAAAGTTCTCAGAAAAGATGAAGCTGATCAGTAATGCGGCAGATTTTGCGCTTCCAGGGGTGAACGGTGCAGTGAATGGAAGTGGGGTCTGTCCTCCCACCACACAATCAGGGAGCTATTCTGCGAGTCCGACTCCCGTTCAGGCACCAACAAAGCCGACCAGAAATTCCGATCCGTCTAATATTCACCGTAGCAGCCCTGAGAACAACCCATCAGAGTTGGTGGAAAAGACGATTGTAAAGCCTAAGGAGAAGGTTAGTGCTTACATCAAGTCTTCTCTTCAGAGAGAAATCTCATGACGTGATGAGGCTGATTCTTACTGTTTTACATTTAGAAGTCTCGGAGGAAGCCGGCGGGGGCTTCTTTGGCGAGTCACAGTGAATCAGGCACGTCCTCGGACAGCTCGAGCGACGGCTCTCTCAGCAGCGATCTGGAAGACCTCGCAGAGGAAGACGAGGATGAGGACGACGACGAGGAGGATGATGAAGAAGATGACAAGCAGAGTGAACTTTCAGAATCTGAGAAACGGATAAAGAAGAAGGCAAAGGTAAAGATGAAATAAGAGCAATCGAGGCTAAACGTTAATGTGCAGTCCACCGTCTTTATTTAAAGCAACGCTGTAAATGTATATTATCATAAGTTGCCATCCCGTTTGATCTAATAATTTTCTGATGATTGTCCTCCTCAGGTGTTATTACCAAGCACTGGAACTGGAAAGAGTGAACGGTCACTTTCTAGGGAGGTCCAGGTCAAAAAGGACAACCAAGCTAAGAAGGTGCCCTCCAACCCCCCAACTCTTGTGCCATTACCCTGCTCTGTCTCCCCGCCCACCTTGTCCCAAACTTCGCCTCTGGGCCTGCAGAGCTCCAGGACCCGGACTGAAGGGCCGCAGCAACACTTCAGTGTGATTCAGTCCACTGGCCTGGCCGCCAACCCTAAGCCTCTCGCACTCCTCACCCAGCCTCGTCGGGAGCCGTCACCAACCTCCTCCCCTATAGCTCTCACCACTTCCCCAAGAGCACTGTCCAGCACTGCCTCTCCCAAACCTCCCAAACTGCTGCCGTCCTCCTCCCCCCAACACCTCCCTCTCTCCCTCTGCTCCTCCCCGAAGCCCCTGTCCGTCCCCTCTCCACCCCGCTCCACCCTCCTGGCATCTACCTCCCCAAAACCTTTTGGTTTGACCTCGTCTTTAACGAGCCCGCAGAAGTCGTCGTTGAAGCCACCCAGGCACGCCGTGTCCAGTGCCGCCAAATCCAACAAGAAAAAACAGCTGGAGGCTTCACTGGCACAGATCAGCGAGTTCAGGCTCAAACAGGTAGGCCTGCCTGATGATTGCAGTTGAATGTCTTTTTTTTCTTTCTCCCCTCCCTATATTCACACAAAGACACAGCAGTTACCACATTGTATGTTGTGAGAAGCAATCTAGAGAATCACAGCTGCACATCCAGCTTTAGTGAACAAAGTTATCCTCGGCAAATTGACTGTAATGAAATTATTCACTAAAGCTGAGCATACAGTTAGACCCGCAGCTATAATTATCTCCCTTCTTCATCATTACTATCAGATGACCTGCACTTCGTTAAACCTTTTAGCCAGTCACTACATTTTTCAAGAGAAAACCCAAACAGCTCACAGACATTCACAAGGGAACATACATGCCTAAGAAGAAAGTAAATCTTTATGTCTTCACAGGAGTGACTGCAGTTTCACAGCATTTTAAAAGTGTGTTCTCTGTTAAAGATGTGTAAATTAGCCGAAGTTAAAAAATCCAACTTATTCCAAAGCGGATAAATGTAATTGTAAGATATAGTTTTTTCATTTATAAAATTACTGACCCTAAAGTATTGAGACCTCAAACAGTTGCTTTAAAGTAATTTTACCTAAGATTTGTTTTTTTTTGTTTTTTGTTTGTTTTTTTAATCTACGCTGTTTTAAGTTTATCAGTTTCAGCAAGTGCTATAGAAGTGGAGGTACAATATCTCCACAGCTTACCACTGAAGTACTTTAGAACTTTCTTGACTTCATTGATAACCATTAGATGTTATTTCAGTGCCAAATGACTAACATTAAGCTATGCCAGGTAAAAGCCTTTTTTATTAAACCATCACAAACATAAGGATGTCTGCGACTTTAACTGGGATCTTATCCTGTGGTTGCAGAAGACTAAGATTAAGATTTTTCTTGCCTCAACCCTCCAGGTGGGTTCGGCATGAAAGAAAAGATAAACATGAGGAAACTTATTTTCTAAAAATCCCTGAGAACCTTGTAAGACTGCACAGCATCAAACCTTTTGAAATATCAGGGGGTTTCACAAAATAGCTGATAGATTGTTTCCCTTAAATAGAAAATACGTCATCATTTAGTCTCTCGCCATAATGAGAATCAAACACATGTGGCCAAATCAATTCATAAATTGTTAACAAACCTTATCACCATCTCAGGCCCCTAAATCCCATAGAAAACCTGGAAGAAACACCCTATAAAGGATGTGCAAAATAAAGTGGTCAAAAATCCTCTGTCTATCAGCACCAACCTTCGAAAATTTTATTATTATTGGCAATTGCTAAAAGGGAGCTATATAAAGCACAGAAAGGGATGTTGAAGTGTGCCAATGGTAATTCTGTTAAAAAGTATTATTTCTTAGTATGAGAATTCACCCACTAAATAAATTGTATTTGTATTAAAAGTCATGTAAGACTATGCTGCCACAATCAAGATACATTTACTTTACACATCTTTAGTGGTACTCCAATAAATGTGGCCAGCACTGTACATCAGAGGAGGCCTTGCTGTAAAGTTTCATGTCTATTTGAATTTTTAGAATCAAATAGACATGAAGTGGAAAAGTTATCAGCACGATGGCTGGATGGATGGATGACGGGGTTATTTATGAAAGAAGTTGGTCTTTATGAATGAGATATTTCTGTGCTTTTGGGAGAACATTTTCAGAATGCATGGATGATGTAGTATTTGAAATGGCCTAATGAATTTTCATTAATGTCTGCCTGCTTTGCTGGAACTTCACATTATTATTTTGTGCAGTTTGCTAGGTAGTTATAATCTGTTTGTTGATTCCAGTTGTTTTCCTCTACAACTGAGTAAGTTAAAGTGTCCATCACAGCATCTTAGCAGGCATTTAAAGGTGCTACAAGCTAAACATGTTGAAACCTTCTTTCATCATTGGCTCATTAAGCTGTATAATCAATTTAATGTTACAGTCTTCCTTGTTTTGATTACTCAATTTTGACTGATTTGCTTTGCTCACATTTGCTTTTGAATAGCCTGTTGATAAACGGGTTATTGGTTTTAGTTTAATCTCCATTGTATTGCACTTCTTGCAGCGTTATTTGCAGTTAATTCAGACGAAAGTCTTTTAAGATTGACTTTTTTGGCCCTTTGCCGCAAAGATTTCATTTTTCCCAAATGAAAGTACTATAATGAATTGCATAAACGTATTGAGATATTCTTATTTTGTGAAAATCACTTCTCCTTTTTTGTTTCGGCAGGCAGAGAAGTTTACACTGAGCTAAATTCCCCCTGTGGTTTTAGCACTGTTACTGTATTTCATGGTCTGTGAAATTGATTTGTTTCACTTCATATCACATCCAGTTGAAAGTGCAGCATAAAAGTCTAACCTGCTTTTGCTTAAACACAGATTGAACTAAACTTGTCATCGGTACAGAAAAGGCAAACATGCCCGTCCGAATGGATGATAACGAATGTTTGGCTTTTCAAATGCGCAGACAAGTAATTACAGTTTTAGTAGAATGCACAGTGTCTTTTTTTTGCAAACTTGGCCGATAACAATGTCTTTGGTTATTGCTTTTATGCTCTTTTTGTTTCCCTAAAAGAGGCTTAGACACAGTTAACCGTACCACTGTTCAGCATTGTAGTTTTGTCACCTGCTCAAACAATCCAAAGCAATGCGAACTGACAGCTAGAGTGGCTCCACTTTGTCCCGTTTCTCTTCTAATTTTTTTTTTTTCTGTAACCTCTTTTTGTTCCTTACATTCTGCATCTCCCCCGCCCCCTTTCTCATCGCCTTTCCTTGATCTCTACCTCCCTTTTTCTCCTCAGACTCTCATGTCCCAAGGGCAGACATTCCCAGCTGAGCAAAAGAAGCAGCAGCAGGGGCCAAACAAATCCCCGAAAAGGACGTCGCTGTCTTCACCGCCATTGCCACCTGTTCCGCCTACTCCACCCCAGAACAATCACTCCAACCTCTTCCTTTCAAGTGCCCTGCTGGGTCTCCCCGAACCCAATCACCCAAATGGAGTCATCCAAAGCACCACTCAGGACACACCTTTGGCCCTCATCACCAAACCTCGCAAAGACGCTGCCGCTCAGGGCAGGTCCCCTCAGCCCAACTCAGACGCTGGGTCGATGCCTGTCAATCTGAGCACAGGGCCAAGTAGGACCCCAGCGAGTGCCCAGGCTGGTCCTCCATCGCAGCCTCCAACTACCTCACCCCATGCCACGGGCCATACATCTAGAAAAAGCAAGACGCCCAAGGTTAAAGGGCAGACACCAGCGCCGGGACAAGCAGACCCTTTAGCTGCCTGGAAGGGCTTCTCTCAGAATCATCTGGTGCAGTCTCTGGTAGATTTGTTTCGAGGAGGAGAATCTGGTGTTGGGATTCCTGGGGTTAGTATCCCTGGGGTTGGAATTCCTGGCGTGGGAATCCCTGGAACGTGTAACCCCACAGCTGGTCTTCCAGCCAACAAGGAATCGGACGACTCAGGAGACGACGACGACGATGATGAGGACGATGACCTCGAAGAGGAGGATGAAGAGGACTCTGATGATAGTCTCTCAGGTAGGGATTGTCTTTCCGTACAACCTAAACATAACTAAGAATGAACATTTTTAATAACCAGCCCTACACGAGTCAATTAAAATCCACCAATTTTCATTTGACTGCCAATGATTGGTGATCAGAAGGCCCAATATAGGAAAAGTCTCCCCCCCTCTCCCATTCATCAAATTCATCAAAATTAAGAACAAACTTGAAATTCACTAGATTTTTTTCCCCCCCATTCGATTCTCTATAATGTTTAACTAATTCCCTTTTTCTTGATTCTCATGTTCCATTTCCAGAGTCTGACAGCAACTCTGACAGCGACATTTCAGGAAAGAAAGTGAAGGAGTTAAAGCTGCTGCCCTCTGGATCATCCAAAAAGGAGATGACTCCTCGCAGGCTTACCAAAGGTCCAGAGCTACTGAACACCTCAACCAACCACACCGCCACCAGCTGCTCCCCTCTCAACCTACAGGTCATCAAGAGTCCCTCTGTTGCCACCAGCTCCAGTGCCTTGGCCTACCACAGCTCTGCAGGCTCTTCTTCCTATAGCCTAGCTTCTCCTTTAGGTAAAGCCTTGCATTGTTTTTTATTTTTTTATTATTATTTTGTTAGAGAGAGATAGTGAGAACTGATTTAAAGGTACTGACGGTCAACATCAGACAACTATTTTTTTTAAAAGGATGAAGCACATCAGAAAAATGCTGTTGTGGAGGCTAGTCTATATATGTTTAAGAAGCAGGGGAAAAAATACAGTTTCATGTTAATATTTGTTAACAGCATGATGAATTTGTGATTGAAAAAAATCACTTGCTCTCCGCAACGACTCTAAAAACCAGATGAAGGAGGCAGCATCATATATAATAAAGATGGTCTGCTTGCACATATGAGAGTACGTTGTTTGGTATTAAACAATGAGTTCCGGCTATTTTCTCTGCAGGTGAAACGTTTATTCTGCTGCTGCATGTATGTTTTTAATGTAGCAATAATATTTAGCACTTGTTCGTGTTTTGTGAGAAACTTGGGTTTTGTATTGAGGAAGTTGACTTGTATTTATGTAAGGAACCCATGACAGACAAAAAGCTGACCTTCAAGTTTATTTAGTGTCACAGAAGTATCTGCAGGAAATTCCAAGCAAAAATGTAGAGGGATAACAGACTTAACATTTTTACTTGAAGGGACAGCTCTGATTTTTTTTGTGGAGAGTTTATGATGAGTTAGTATGTTTTCTGCTGTAGATACACCATCAGTTGTTTTGTTCCTACAGGCTGAAGTGGATCTCTCTCTTACAATAATTCCAAACCATTCGAGCAATTAATAAGAATGTTTTCGGGGGGATAATTATTTAATTTTCTTAGGCTTTTCATTTGAACAGTCATTGTCACAAGACCATCAAAAATAACACGTTTCTAATTACACAACAATCTATAAAACGCAAATAACGTTTTATATATTATGTAAAGAGTTTACATAAGATATGGTGGCATTTTTGTTGTTTGATTTGTTGATTTGAAATCTTCTTTTACTTGGGCCCTGCTCAGTCTACCTTCAGCCTCTAGGCAAAAAATACCTTTTTGTATACTTGCATTGTTTAAAAGGAAGATGTAATGAGGAGTACCTAATGTCGGTAAGATACTAACTGTTCATAACCTCTGCTGAGAAACCCCTTTTAAAAAGTCTAAGCAGGAATTTTAAGTTGAAAAATAGGTGCTTATGAAAATAAACGCTAATTACCCTTCAAGCTAATCATTGCATGTAGTTTACCTCATGTAATTGTATTTTTGCCTTAAGGCTGTAACATGCAATCCATTTAATTTATGTGGGACAGAATAATACAGAAGTACACTTATGTTTTATAAAAAATTAAAGAAAATAAAAAACACCATTCACCTTTTAAGACAAAAATAAGTTAATAAATTCCTCTCTTCTCCTCTCATCCTATTTTGGTGAAACATGCTTTTTGTATGATAGAAGGTCCAGCTTGTGTTTTTAAAGTGACACAGAGGGATGCTAGGATTTTAATAAAAAGTAAAGCTTTAAAAAGCCTCACTCTAGAGAGATCCACTGATCCTTAGTGCGATTTTACACAGAAGGAAAATTTCCTGATTTTCATGCAAACAAGGGGTGTAAAGCTGTTGCCTAGTTGTTCCCTCTGGCATATTGCTTGCTATTTTCAACCTAACCGTAAGGCCTTATGGGGCACAGAACCCTGTACGGTCACACTTTTCACAGCTCCCACAACAGCTCTGTACATACTATCAAATGCATAAAGAATGCAAGTGTGCTGCCTAAAAGGAAATACACTCCCTTTATACTCAGGTGAGTATGAAGAGGGCTTGTTCCTATTTGCAAGACAGGAAGGAGACAGTTTGTTGTCATGGCTGAACTGCAGCTCTGAAATCCTGTAGGGGCATGCCCAAGAGTCCTGACAAGTTACTTGGCACTGCAGCAAGTTTTATTTCCGCCACATTCAATGAGAGATTACGCAGATCACAGAAAACAGGACGTGTGTAACTGGCCAGGAAGCAACACATTTGCAGTATTTCATCTGCGCTTTTTGTTCTCAACTGCTTGATATTTTCCTCTGCCTAAATATCTTTCTGTTTCAGTATTTAGCTTTTACATACCCACCAAAGTAAAATTTGGATCAAGTGCTATATTTGTCATACAATGCTGGCAATTGTGTTAAAAACAAAAGTCTGGCTTCTCTTCATATGTGAGTTTTCCCTGATGGTTCGCACCACCTCTCTGCAGGTTTAGGGAAAAGGAAGAGGGTGATGGATGAAAAGGAGTTGATGGTACCTCTGGAGTTGGGGTACGTACAAGTAGTTCAGAGTCAGAAAATATGCGAAGTATATGTCTTATTAATCTATCACTTCAAATTGTTCTGCTTTCGTACACGGTGCAGTGTGAAGGACGAGCCGCGTGAACACCTGTTTTATTTTTCGCTCCTAGGTGGCGGAGAGAAACAAGAATCAAGTCGGTGGGTGGACGCCCGCAGGGTGAGGTGTCCTACTACGCTCCCTGTGGCAAGAAACTCAGACAGTACCCAGATGTGATGAAGGTATCTTGCTCGCACTGAGCCGCATTTAGTCTCATTAGTGATGCACCAGCAAATTTGTGGGCAAACCAATGAAAAAACGATTCATAACAAGACATATAATGTTAGTCATTGCTGACAGCATGTATCGCTGATTTAGGGGATTATGTTTAAATTCATATCGGGACATTCAGCTTGCTCACAGAGATGTTTGTGTATCAGTATTAGAGAACTTTGCCTCTGCTTCTGCTTCAGCTCAAATCCCACCCCCATCCCGCTTTCCACGACCCTAATAGTGAGAGATGGTGCTCTTAGATTCACTTCTTGTGCCAATTTATTCACCTCTCCCTGCCGCCGAAATGATTAATGCTTAGTTTCGGGGGATGCACAATTTTGCTCCATTTGCTCAGTATTCAATTGTGTCTAGTCTTCTGTGTTTGCTTCATTGAAATTTCAAGCATAGCAGTCGTCCAAGCTGCCCCAGAGTACGGTGCTCACAAAAAAAAAAAAAAAAAAAAAAAAAAACTGCAGCCACATAAACTAATCCGCTCTTCTAGCATTACACAGGCAAT